TCCTTCCTGGGAATTTAACATTTTTTGTGTGTGTGCTAGGGAAATCAACGTCTTTCAGTGGAATCCGGTTAACCTTTAACAAAGTTTCCCATGATGCTATCGAGAACGAGTAGCTAATTGTATTATATGTTGAATTTGTTTCAAAACTTTTTGAGATCGTGTGGACATTTGTGGAATGAGATGAGATGCCATGAGTGTCAACGGGATAATGTCGTTTGAATTAATCGGATAACAATTGGCAGTCGTATCTTTAAACGCAGTAGAAATGAGCTGTCGAGGTGTCGCTTCTGAAATCCGGTTTGAAACTAAGTGTCTGATGAACAAAAAAAGGAAAAACACCCCAGGGGCAAACCAAGTCAAGGACTTGTCTGAGTTATATTTTTAATCCATTTTCGAACATTTAAAAAAATGGTGTTTTTGATTTATCACCTTTGTTGCTGCGTATAGGATTATCTGCTGAAGGTGATCTGCTGTTGGGTGGACAAATCCATGATGGGAGTCTGGGTGGGGGTTGGGGGGTTGTTCATGTATGTATGCCACTTATATAAATGATTGTTAATACAACAACAAAATGCCTCCCGTGTGGCAAGAAAAAACACCGTTTTCAGTGCTAAAAAGGGGTGGTGGGGTAGCCTAGTGGTCAAAGCGTTAGCTTCACACGCCGGGTTCGATTTCCCACATGGGTATAACGTGTGAAGTCCATTTCTGGTGTCTCCCGCCGTGATATTGCTGGAATGTTGCTAAAAGCGGTGTAAATCTAAACTCACTCAACTGGCCTTTTTGTAACAGTGCCTAATTTTGATTACTCACACACTCATTAAAGCGAAAAATGAATAACCCAAGTTGAAAAGTACCTTTACGGATTATTGGTAATATCTGCACCAACTGGTATATCAAATATCCCTGGATGAGGTGCCCCTTTAAGGCTGTTTGAGCTATCGATAACAGGCAGATTTAACTTTTCCGCGAAGCATGCTCTTGTCATCTGGCGACTTCTTTGAAGACCTCTTTAATACAAATGGTGTGTTGTATACTTCGGGGAATGCTTACAAATGTGAATTAATGGTGATTTTTATATATAGACTTTACGTCTAACGTGTCTGGGTCCATTTTGAAAATGCCTGGCTTGTCTCGGAAATGGATGGTTCGATTGAGCGTTGATCAGATTACGGCATTAATAAACTCCCATAACTCACCTAAACCGATCTCAAGCTACAAGTGATGGACAATATGTGACAAAAAGACGCTGTCTCCATGGCAACGCTGCTTACCTTTACTGCATTACACTTATTCCCCGTGGATCAATTTGTAACTGTCGCGGGGAATCGCTTGTCTTACATGTCAGTGTAGTCCCTGCGTGAGGAAACAACTTAACGCCTGTACGATGTGGCTTCGACTTACAATCGGCGTTATCACTCGCAGGTGATAGACAGGGCGGACCCAGCATGGGGCTGTTGTACATGCAATCAGTTTAAAGGTACCCATCGAGCGATACGCATAGGCTGGAAGACCCAGAGGTTCGATCCCCGGCCGCGTCATACCAGAAGACGTTGAGGATGGTATTTCTTGTGACCCTGCCAGCCGCTCGGCATTAGGGGAATAAAACGGACTGGCCGGCATTAGGGGAATAGAACGGACTGCTCGGCATTAGGGGAATAAAACGGACTGGCCGGGATTAGTGGAATAGAACGAACTGCTCGGCATTAGGGGAATAAAACGGTCTGCTCGGCATTAGGGGAATAAAACGGACTGGCCGGCATTAAGGGAATAAAACGGACTGGTCGGCATTGGAGGAATAAAACGGTCTGCTCGGCATTAGGTGAATAGAACGAACTGCTCGGCATTAGGGGAATAAAACGGACTGGTCGGCATAAGAGGAATAAAACGGTCTGCTCGGCATTAGGTGAATAGAACGAACTGCTCGGCATTAGGGGAATAAAACGGACTGGTCGGCATAAGAGGAATAAAACGGTCTGCTCGGCATTAGGTGAATTGAACGAACTGCTCGGCATTAGGGGAATAAAACGGACTGGTCGGCATAAGAGGAATAAAACGGTCTGCTCGGCATTAGGGGAATAAAGAGAGAGGCTTGAGTTAACATTCTCGTTTTCTTAATCAACATCACTTGTACACACCCATCCCGCACTCCTCCATCCCTACATCCCTGGATCAGGATATGAATCGCCATCTGCGAAAATCATTGGAAGGAATTGCGATCTTCGGGGAAATCTGTAATCAATCATTCTATGCATGTACGTGGACATATTAGAATGCGCGTTCTTGCCATCCATTTCCGAACTTGGAAACATAGTTCTTCCTTCCAGGGCTACCACCCACATTCGTGGGATTACAAGTAGCCGAGGAACCCTGTAAACGATCCCCATCAGTCACACGGTACTTGGGCCACGCCGGAGGCAATAGGTTTGAACACTGCCGGTACTTGGCGAAACTGATATGGCATGACGAGCTAACATGTCATTGAATGGCGTTAAATAGACGAACAGAGTACATTTTATTGTATTGACCTCGGGACAAGGGTTTAGAACGACATTTGGAAAGCCCTTTTCAGCTCTCTGTTCCCTGGGGTCATGTTTGACATACAATAGAACCCCGTTAATACGGACGGTACCGTTTTCAGTTACATCGTCCGGATTAGCCAATTTCGGGATAACTTTGGGGAGAGAGAGAGAGAGAGAGAGAGAGAGAGAGAGCAGTCTAAAGTTAACAGACTTAACCGACTTTTCATTGCACACAACAGTGAATTGTTACGTTACACTATTACAAACAATCGACATACTCATATCGAATACTGTGTGAGCTACTTAATCAATTCTTCAGCCATGTCATTGGATACCATGAGTTTGTCTTCAACTTTTTCATTGTGGACAATTGAAACCGGTTGTCTATTTCGCGACAAGCCGTCATTTGAACTATACTGTACACCATTTGGAATATTGAAATATGGATAATTTTTGTGTGCTCAAAAATGACGTTTATCTCAAAGTACTGATATCTCGGATGAAGCAACGCATTCTGGGTAATCGGAGTCCATGAATGCATAAGGGGGCACGGGTGGCCCAGTCGTCTACGGCGCCGCGATTCGCTGTGCAGAGTTGCGGCCCTTGAGCACGTCGGAAACCTATGATTGTGGGTTCGAATCCCGGTTCGACCCGGTTATGATTCTAGCTTTGTCAGCACCATACCCGTGCTCGTGGGTTTCACCGAAGTGGTAAACGTCTGACCTGCATCACTTCGGGCTTTCCTCCCACATTAAGCTTACACGCCGTGATATAACCGGAATACTGTTAAAAGCGGCGTTTAACCCAATTCACTCACTCACCCCATGAATGCATAACAGTCTTTAGGTTGGGCTCAAGGGATTTAGCATCGTATTTCCTGACAATGATGATTTGCAATATGATTCATAATAAGCAGCTGTTTAGACGTCCCCGATTATCCGGTGTATTATATCCTCATTATGTTATGATAATAGAATGGAGATATAATAGGCTGGCTGATCGAGGCTGCTATTTAGACTTTCGAAAGAATCACTATAGAGTGCCACCATGACTAAACATGATTGGTGAGTAAAGCACCAGATCCATCCAATTAACGTTTGCCCTCAGTCCCGTGGCTAATAATACATTCAACTGGCTAGCAATATGTTTAAAGACCACAAGCTTGTTTATTTCACAGAACACTATATAAAAACGTTTAGAGTGACGACAATGTATTGGACAATTATCTTCAGTCTAGTTTGTGTGTATGCGTCTCTGCGAATACCAGACCGAGCAAACGATACAGTACGAGGCATGCCAATGGGGGCTTGTAAGAACTTACGACAGAGGGGCAGGGGTGTCCAGACGTCTAAGATGCTGCAATTCACTATGGAGTGTCGGATCCCTTAGGGTTTCAATCCCAGATTCGCTCCGACGTTTCTAGGTTTGCCAGCACCATACCCGTGCTTGTGGGTTTCACCAAAGTGGTAAAAATCTGAGAACTGCATCCCTTCGGGCTTTCCTCCCACACATGACATTAAGCTGACATGCCGTGATACAACTGTAATACTGTTACAAGCGGCGTTAATCCCAACTCACCCGCTCACTACTTCTATAGAGAAACCCCGTTAGTCAGGAAACCCGTTACTCCGGACAATAACTACATAATAAAAGGACATAACTACATACCATGTAGGACATAATAATAATAATAATAATAATAATAATAATAATAATAATAATAATAATGAGTATGACATAATAATAGTAAGGACATGACTACGTCCCAATGATTCGCTATTCAAGAAATTACAAAATTTCTGTATAATCCAAAATATTATGTCGATTCAGTGCAATATAATTATTATTTATCGAATGAAATGCACGTATGAATGAGTGACTTGAAGTGGTAGTATTAAGCATAATTACTGCCTGTAAATAATCGCGCCGGGGTCAGAAAATCCAGAAGCGATTTTCACCATCAGGACAGGATGACACGCGGCCTAGTCACAGGGTCCCCCTTAGTTGCCATGACAGCAGCTGGGTTCTGGGGACCCAGAACATCCGCGATTAATACATTTATGTAATTACTTACATTCAACATCTGCAGTATATGTAGCTATATACTGTCACGTGCCCTGTCGATACATCGCTGTTCCCGTCGACATTGAAATTCCACAAGTTCCACTTTCATATTTCAAAGGATATTAATTTTCATTTAAATTCCGTAGTACAATTCTGAATAACATATAGCCATGAAAGAACAATTCATTATTTATATCTCTGATGTTTAACCTGTAATATCAGACATATTGATTTCAGAACGATGCCTGCATCGTTATAGCCAGAGAAACGACTTCGTGCAACAGGTACCAGCAGAATAAACCAACCAGCTTGGAAGAAGCAGTTTTGTTCCTAACAACCCTGATTCATACTTGAACAATTCCGATATGTGTCGTCACGTAAGTAAATACATGTACAAAATATGACAGCGTATCTCACCTGCTACCGTTTGCGTGTAACCTGCAAGTCTTGTTGGTTTCTTTCTGTAATCGGCTGGAATGATCGCCACACATATTGCAATAAATGCGCCGAGACAGAGAAGTCCACACCCCCCTCCATACAACACACACGAGGCCTGCCACGCCCCAGAGGGAATGCTCCCCAGGTTGAAATTACCCCCATAGGCGAGACAGGTCTCCCGAGAGTAGGCGAAGCGGGTGTTGCCGAAGCAGTAGCTGATCAGCCCAAAGGAGTGCGTGTAGTCCAAGTGGATGAACCAGAATGGTTGAAGGAAGCTGAATGTGCAGGTACCCGCAACTAAAACTGACAGTAGAGCCCATATCATCAAAATTGGCGACGGCATTGCTCCATCGCCGTCTGGTGTTTCCGTAGTGGACGTCTAAAGTCGATCATGGAAGTGGTCGCCTCTTAATCGTCGTTGATCACATTTTGGAAGTTTTCCAGTCACGTCAGTTCGATTTGGTTGTTTAGGGACCACTGGGTACACAACGGGTCAGGTGTCGATCAAACTAGGTGTTAAGTACATGCGTCTAAACTATCCCGAAAGTGGTGAATGAGAGGCAACGCTCATAGCCCAAGTTCCGCACGTGAGTGTCTCTCACTAAAGTCATTAGAAATAGCGTTCAAACGGTTCATTAGCGGAAACAGCCTTCTGGTCTCTGAAACCCGGGGTTAGTGCACAACCAACTGACGGGCGTCTTCCAAGCATATTCAAGGCAAGTCTGCACCTCTCGAGCAGACGACAACTTCCTGGCGTTATCACACGGAAATCAAGAACAATCATTATTGTGCGAGCATCCTCCAGAATCAATACGGGACCTATGGCCTATTCGGCGTCATTTGCAGGTACCGCTGAGCCTCCATCGCGCTCGGACAGCCGACCGCCAACCAGCCAGCGCGTGCACAGAGAGAGAGGAGCACGCGCTACTTGGCAGACGTCTCTTGGCGTAGGAGAAGGGCGGGAGGGTCGCTTGTGTGGAAATCAATTACCGAATGTCTTATATTTCCCCTGACCTGGGGGTATGGATTTACCATATGGTGCCAAGTCAGGCCGTGACCAATCGGGGTATTGGTTTAATGGTGAGGGTTTTGAGAGGGATAAATTCATTAAACGTAGCCGTACAGTTGTTGTAGAATTGGAGATGGTGTTTATACAACAGTAGATGAAAAAGCCTGAGTCTGGATGTACCAGGGCTTATCGCTGTTTGGTAAACGTTAGAGTGATTTTGTGGATCTTTGAAACACGTATACGGTAATTCTCGTGATGATGTGTGAGGTGATATTTAAGAAAGACAAACGAATTGTTAAAGCGGATTCTGTAGGGGAAAACACACTCACTAACACACACACACACACACACACACTCACTAACTCACACATGCACATGTGCACACACCACACATGCACCTCACCCTACACACATACATAACCCCACACACACTCACACACACACGCACCTCACGCATTCACCTTCCAACATACACATGCACACACCACACACTCATTTCTCTTTTGAATGCACACACAGAACCCATGCACCTCCACCCCACACACACACACATACATACCCCCCTCCACACGCACACATACACGCACCTCACACATTCACCTTCCAACACACACACATGCACACACCACACACTTATTTCTCTTTTGCACGCGCGCGCACGCACGCACACACACACACACACACACACACACAAACACACACACATACATCCACCACCCACTTCGTCATACACAATTGAGAAAAACAAATACCCCCTGACTATAAATTTGCCTATTATTTTGACAACTCCCTTCGAGATTGCAGATCAGTCCGTGCATTCAGGTTGGAAATCAGACATGCATCTGTATGATACCCAGAATTGAACATCATGACCCGAAAACGAAAGGCTGATTTCTGTCTGTTGAAACATTAGATTACCTAACAGAACAGAACAGCCTGCCAATGCAAGTGATGAGCGCTTCATTTCGTGTTGGTGTGTGCGCGAACTGCGGTATAGATTTTACATCTCTGCTGGCGGTATTGTGTGACCGTGGTTTACATTAATGTGTAGACATGGACGTCGGTGGTAAGATAGCCAGTTCTTCTCACAGGAATATCGACCTGCTGCTGGCTCAGCGAGTGAGTTTTTCTGCCGATTCGAGGTGTCCACTGGCGGATACAGATGGGGTAGACGTGGGATGGGATGGGTGAGGTGAAGTAAGGTGAGGTGAGGTGAGGTGAGGTGAGGTGAAATATGGGTATAACGTCGCGTTGAGATTATTGTACTTATATAGTTTATAAAAAGGAGCGAGGGGAATTAGCTCTTTTAGCAGAGGTACCACTGTACTCGACCAACCCACATAACAACACAAGACCTGCGTGAATAAACAGTGAGTTTATTAGACAGAATCGTATATAAAATCAGTCAAAAGAGGAATGTTTACAACCAATTATTAGAGAAGATTTACAATCAGTTTTAGAGGTGCATATATGTGAAGAACGTGATATGGAATCAGTGTGTGTGTGTGTGTGTGTGTGTGTGTGTGTGTGTCACGGTGTGTGTGTGTGTGTGTGTGTGTGTGTGTGTGTGTGTGTGTGTCAAATGAGACACCACTTAGTTTTAGACACAGTATATTAACTCGGAGTCCGTTTCCTTCCCCTAATGCCGTGCGCCAGGCAGGGTAATAACAAATACCATCTTAAAACTCTCTCTCTCTCTCTGGAAGGAAGAATTATGTTTCCAAGTCTCTCTCTCTCTCTCTCTCTCTCTCTCTCTCTCTCTCTCTCTCTCTCTCTCTCTCTGTCTCTCTCTCGCTCTCTCTCTGTCTCTCTCTCTGTCTCTCTCTCGCTCTCTCTCTCTCTCTCTCTCTCTCTCTCTCTCTCTCTCTCTCTCTCTCTCTCGCTTGCTGTTCCCACACCTCGTGCAATTAAAGGGACCAAGCTAATTATCTTGATATAAACCGCCACGCGATGCAACATTGGCGACATGGCGTTAGGCAATATTGATAATATTGATAATTGGTGGTATCGGCATTAGTCAACATCATCATATATTAATTATCTTACAATTAGCATCGCTAAATATGTTTACAGTTTATTCATGTAGTGGACTAGAATTATTCATGTGACAAACCATGAGATGAGGGACATTTTGACTTCTCATTTAATTTTTAAACTACAGTATTTTAAAAACACAAGAAAATCAATCCATAACCATTAGTTAATATTTATTACAGAGATACATGGCATCATACATTTGGAATTATTTTCCGACTAAAAACTAAACTGTTTATGTATACATTGCAGTTTTCAAACATAATGTCTGATTACTTGAAAGAAGACATGTATGCTGAAAGTCATACATGTATGATGAAATACGATATTTGTGTAGTGACGATTTTGACGGAAGTATGACGCCACAGCACAATTGTATCCTAGCACCCTGTTGTCCAGGTGGGTCACATTATAGTCCCTAAAATATTCATTGTGTGTATTAATGCCACGTGTTATTTTAGGTCTTCCAGCCTATGCGTATCGCTCGATGGCTACCTTTTAACCGATTGCATGTACAACAGCCCCATGCTGTGTCCGCCCTTTCTAATACCTGTCAACTAAGCTAGAAATCGAATGGGTGGCACAAAAGCTTGATTAGGTAAATGCAACCCAAGCGAGAACGTAGCTTGCCGAATCCCTCTATCAGGCGTGGCGAGCTACCACCCTTACCACTAAGCTACCCGAGCACCTCAACAAGTAACCTCCTTTGGTGACCTTTCATCCGGGTCGTATCTTCGCTATCTTCTCGTCCAAATATCTTTCCAAATGTGAATTCTTGATGCCTATTCAGTGTCACTATTGGTTTGTTTAACCAATCCTAACGGTAATATAATCCACCCCAGGGACAAATGACAGAGACCAGAAGAGTCCGTTTGATCAACCCTGGCGGAACTAGATCCGCTCTCACGACGCCATTATACGGTATGCCATATGTCAGTCCTCATGTGGGGATTCCGGGTTAGAATTGGTCCCTATCGCTCTACACATCACAAATGCTACCAGAATAATAAAACCCTTCTGTTTCTGGTCTCCCAGTGGGTATTCCGGCTAAGAATTGGTCCCCAGCAATCTATGCTGGTCGTACGGGCGACTTAATCCGGTGGATCCGTTGGATCCGGTGGTCAGGCTCGATGACTTGGTTGACTGCATGTCAACCTACTCAGACTGCTTGAATTGTTGCTCATGATATCTGTCACTAGTTCTTCTAGTCATATAGCTGGAATATTGCTCATTGTATGTACAATCTAACCACACGCAAACAAACAGACGGGGTCAAGGCCTTATAGCACGTGTACAGGTCACGCGCATAACCAAATTCTTCACTTGGGTAGATAGATAAATAGACAGTTTATTTTAGTCTCATCCCTTTACAGGCCAATACATACAATAACACACACACATGGCCACTCCATATGGAGTGATGAAAGACTATAATAAACAATAAATCAATAAAACACATATTAAAAACTGACGGACAAAAGAAACTTTACCATTTTAAAAATAAAATTGCAAAAATTCAAAAACAAAAGTTTTAAAAAAATCAATGCAAAACATATCGTCCAAACACAACAAGGCTTTATGCAGAAAGTGATACACGTCAACGGCACGTTTTGTTTTAGGAAAATGCGAAAAAGTGAAAAACTCGTCCCGCAGGGGCAGCCGAAACTACACGTGCCATAAGGGTAATTTATAAATTATACGGACGGCATGTCAGACACTCACACTGATAAAAAAAACAAAAAACAGAAATGCTACGACTGACACGCGAACAACGCGAGCGGACCCTGGGTGTGATACAGATGGGAGCCGCCCACTTTGCAAGAACTTTTGGTTGCTACCGTTTTGCAGTAACTATCCTGATGCAACGTTACAGACAGACCGGGCAGACGTCAGACAGGCCATGAAAACGCAGACTCGGGGTAACTACGCCCAATGAAGACCGGTACTTGCGTACTTTGCATCTCCGGAATCGATTGCTGCCAGTGACGTCAACGGTGACGAAGGCCTTAGGACATATTGCAATCTTCGCCCGATTGCCCTACCAATTCTACAACAGCTGCCACGTGGTGACCTTTTTCAGCATGACAACGCCAGACATCATACAGCCCGTACAGTACATAACATCGTTGCAGCCAACAACGTCAATCTGACTCCCCAGACATATCCCCTACAGAACATGATGTAGGCCGTGGGCTAGGTATGACCCAAATCTTCAAGTGTGATATACCACTGGAAGCCATATATACGTACCTCTCCAATGAGGTATCAATAGTTGGTATTGAGTGAATATGGACCAATCCATGGCAAATCGAACGTCATAATCCCGACAAAACCAAATTCTTCTCGCAGAAACCTTTAATCCGGTATACGTTCTAGGTACGTGTGCCTGATTCCACTATAATCTTCTGACACATGTTCCAGTACTTCTCTTGAAGTACTTCTTAACATGTGATGTTACCAGGTGAAAATCTTTTGCACAATTTGGAATAAATTTACTCTTATAATTATATCAGAGTAGGATACCCAATAATTTATTCTCGGCTTAGCTACATCGGAACAACGCTTGGATGTATGCTCAGGATTTGGCTTGTCACCGACCTCGATGTGTTATATACCTTAGGAAACCATATATAAACACCATAATTTGATGTATGCTGATTATTGATCTACGTGTGGACAATCATACAGAATTCTTCTTGACAACTCTGATATCACTCACTTTTGTATACATATAAGAGGTTCACAGTATAATGCTCGAGTCGATTTCAGAACTTTGAATGAAATGGACCTATGTGTAACATATTCAAGATGGCAACCGTAAAGCTGTGCAAAAAAAACTGATCATAATGTAAATGTTATTTATTTCAGCAAATATACA